GGGTCCTCTCATCGAACTCGACATCACGGGAAAAGACTGTCTTACCTGAATGAATTTCATACAGCTTGTACTGGTTCGGTTCACTGTAACCTAGCAATCGGCACTCGGAGGATCTGGGTCCGAGCTTTGCTCGATGCTCTTTCGGGATCAACACCCATGCGCGGGAGCCAATCCGTCGCAGATGCAACAGCGAGGGCGGCTTCCCGTAAATGATTTCGTACGGGGTCTTCTTGTGCAAAATTGTTGCTGGCGCGCGCAACTTCAGATAGACCACCGTGTCCACAAGCTCGGTCCACCAGGAAGGAGGAAGGTTCGCATCAGACAGGAGCGTGTTGATCCGCTCCCGGATAGTGCGATTCGTGCGTTCGGCCAGACCATTCTGCCCTTTGCAGTATGGCGGCGAGGTGTCAAACTCAACTCCCTGGGTCTCGAGGTGTGCTCCGATCGGCAGGTATTCTCTCCCGTTGTCGGTGAGGAACCTCTTGATCTGGGCACCGAACTGTCGGTGCACCCAGGCCGCAAATAGTCGGAACTTCTGGAGCGCTTCATGCTTCCATCTCATGGCATATGCCCACGAGCCACGAGAATAATCGTCAGTAAAGGTGATCACGTACCTGGAGCCATCTTTGGCGATCGGCATCTCCATGATGTCCGAATGGATCATTTCAAAGATTCTCGTTGAATGCAGACGTGGCCGTCTTGCACGGGAGTTCCTCTTCTGATGCTGCTTACCCGACATGCACGCCGGGCACTGCGGCGTTGCCAGCAGCTGCGCCTGCGTTAGCGGTCGGTACGGAGTGCCGGTCTGCCGGAGGACCACCCTCAAGTCTCCCCGGTTCAGATGTCCCATCCGAGCGTGCCACATCGCTTCGGAGGCCTGGTCCACTCCTTTGCACGCATCTTCTTCGAGTATCACAGCTTCACCACTGAGTTCAGAGGTTGACGCTGCGCATTCTGCGTCACTTGACTCCTGAGGGTCGTCGACTTCCATGGCCACTGCCTGCGGTTCCAGGGAATCTGCATGGCCACAGGTCGTCGGCGCCCTCGCCAGTTGGACTCGCTCTCGGGATCTTTTGCTCACATGGCACCGCAGGATCAACAGATCCTCCTCCGCATGGTAGGCAGTCCCCACGGTCCGTCGTCGGCGTTGCACAAAGACGTTCTGCGGGTGCGCCACCACCGAGTAGCGGTCTCGCAACAGCTTCGGCACGCTGATCAGGTTCATCCCGACGCGTGGCGCGAAGTATACATTCTTTAACACCAGGGGTTGGTTGAACTTCCCCCGGAGCGTGAGCTTTACCGTACCAATCCCTTCGGCTTCTACTGGATCGCCCGCCGTGTCCAGCATCTCGCGGTGGGGCCGCAGACTGCTGAAGCAACTCCGGTCCCAGCAGATGTGGCTGGTGGCGGCCGAGTCCAGGATCCACCGGGGTTGCGGTGCGTGGGTATAGAGAGTCGTCACCCTCGCCCTCACGATATTGATCCTCGGTCTCTTGGAAGTCGGCGGGCCCTGCCGATCTTCTCTCTGGCTTGACGGTATATTTTGCATGTTGTTTCTTGGTGAGCCGGAAGCACTCCGTTCAGCCTTCAGGGCATGGTCCCTAGGCGGGTGTATTTCGCGCTGTTTCTTCCAGCACTCCTCGACCACATGGCCGCGCTTCCTGCAGTAGGTACATTTCTTGGGATTTCTCTGCACTGCATTTATTGACGGTCCTGGGACTCCCTGCGGGGGCACGGGAGACTCCTTTCGTCGGACCGTCTGCTCGGCGTTGGACAGCCGATTTCCGATCGTGGTCGGGTTGACCGGATCCTTGTCATTCTGGATCGCATCCACAACCAGGATGTATTCCGGTCCGATCTGCGTAAGCAGTATCGCAATATGAGTCTTGTCACCGATTGATCCTGGAGCGATGGCATTCAATCGATGTACGAGCAGCCGTACGCGATCAACAAAATCACGTGCACTGGCGCATCGTTCGCCGGTTGTCTCGCGAAGTTGAGCAAACAGTTCGCAGAAGGTGGCGAGTTCCATTCGCCGGTACCGTTCTTCAAGTTCATTCCAGAGGTCACGGGACGTCTCTAGTCCCGCGACATGAATGCTGATGTGGGGGGACAGGTACCGGAAGATGGTGTGGTAGGCCTCGGCTTCACGGCGCGACCATTCACGGTGGCGCTCGAATGCCTGGACCTCCACTTCGAGGCGCGCGTCAATGGCTCGCTGCCTCACCGCCCCATTGAGGTGGGGCTCCACCAAGGGGTGGATGTCCGCCGTAATAGGTTTGGCGTACTTGAATAGACAGTCGGGACGCTGAAGGTCGCCCGACACGACATCCCAGACCTGCCTGGCTTTCAGGTAGGAGGTCATGAGACGTTTCCAGGTCGCGAAGTTATCGCTTCCCGTCAGAGGCTCGATGGCCGTGACGGCTCGGTCAGGAGAGTCATGGACCAGAGCAGACATAGTATTGATTGCGAAAGCGGGGTAGATCATATAATCAAGATTGATGAGATGATTCTCAGATGAGTAGAGACGGCACCCGAGATTATGCTCTCGGGCTCATAACCTGTTGTTGTTCAGAGGTATGGATTGACTTGTTATTTCAGAGGGATACATGAGCCTATATATACAACAATGAGCCAAGTTGATTGGAAATCAACTTGGTCGTCTGTATAGACACTTCGGAGCTAATTCCGACGGTGCGGCTTGGTTCCTGATCTGCACCAGCCTCATATCACAACAGTGTTGTCCTCTTGTGGTACCAGTTGAGAGATCTACCCCGGTCACTCTTCCATTATGGTCTACCTCAGTTGCAAATGTGAAGGCAGGGGTGTTGACTGGAGAGTTGGACTTTGATTGCAAATGATCACAATATAATGGTCGGTGCAAGGTCGGCGAGGAAGACTGTTTTGAGACTAGCATTTCGTGAAGTCTCGAACTGTCCTCAGGTGATACCTGGCTTATCTGAGAGCCAGTGTCATGGTTGGATGTAGGCTTCCGCGAAGCAAATGTCGGCTGCATGTTCCTTGTTGTCAGCCATATGCCCAGAAAAGCGACAGTTGATCTCGAGATGTCATAGAAAACAAGGGGAAGTCGGGATAGAGGCATGTACGATACATACGTTTGCTGGGCGGTGGTTGTTCTTTTCCATTGCAGGTGCTTCACTTGCTTGATGTGAAATCAATCAAGCAAGGGAAGGCCAGAGCATCTCTCCGCTTAGTCTCATACTGATATAAGCTGACTAGCCCAATATTTTGGGTCTTTGCCAAATGGCTGGTATGTTTCCTTCTATCAAAAATTAGAATTTGAGGTAAGATCCAAGGCACGTAGACTCACATTGTTGCTTTATGTCTCATGCTGGGGATAGAAAATGTCAATCTTGCATATCAACGTCGAGCCGCATTTCTTGAATTCTCTAACCCGCAATTGGTCTAGCCCGCAATTTATATCGTAACAGGTGAGAATCGTTGGGAAAATCCGCGGATGCGGTGAGCATCGTTGAAGTCAGCTTCGATGCTCAGACCATGGCATTGCGACATACATAAATGCTGCATGCAGCCGTGGCAAACCGCTGTTTGATTGCAGTAAATTAATTGACAGATGGCGCCTGCTCTAAGCCGTGTCGAGCGAGAGGAGCTCCGCAAGCGCCGGGTCAAGCGAGAGCAACTCCGCAAGCGCCGCAACAATCTATTACGGCGCCACAATGAATTTTGGCTTCTATATGGGATGAAGAGCTGGCTCATCATGGAATCGCCTGATGGTCAGATTTTCACATATCACTCTCACCCAGATACCCCTCCACCCTCCAGGGAAGACATGGTAAGACGATGTTGACATAAGGAATGGTGATTTGCCGCTGATTGGTGAAAGAAAATACGCTCCAAGTCTTCTGTTGTTCGAACGCCTCGCTATTATAGCTCCATGGTCTCTGCTCAGCCAGTCGACAAAGAGCTCCCCGTTCTCTGCGCTCCAGTTCGTCAATACAACAGATGGGAAGCTCTAGCGCAGCTTTTGGAGAATAGTCGTCGCATGTTTTCGTGATCATCGAACCCTTTTGCGCCTACTTAGTTCACTTTGGTGCACAGTGGGATTCGAGAATTAGCAGATCTCAGCGCAGTCGCTGAAGCAATATATCAGCTCTGTATGACATTCAATCTCTTTGGGTTGCTAGCAAATCTGGCTATGTTTTTTGTGTACCCCATACATGCTCTGTGGACTCTGGGATATTGTTAAAGGGACAGTATCTGTCGGGTCCGAGGGATGCAGGCACTAGTACTCGAACAAGCACCAGCAAGAAACAGAGCAAAAAACGAGTGATTCAACATAATTTACTACCCTCTTTGGTTTGTGAAATGGCTTTGGCTCACTGACAGGAGGGGACCGACCGTCGGTGGGTGCTTAGTCACGGTGATGGGTTGATGGGCCCCAAACAGTACAAACATGTCGAGAATTCAGGTGCCAAGCAAAGTTGAACCCTCTTTTTCGGATTTATCAATTACCTTCCGTTTTACCACCGTTTTTCTACCTTATCACTAAGGTAATTTTTAGTTAATTTTGTTATTTTAGAATTAGTTCCTATTAACTCTTTATATCACGTCTAAAGTCGCGAAAAGACGCGTGTATTTAGGAATTTTATAAATTACAGAGGTTCACTAGAAAGTGGTGGTACTCACGCATAAACCTCATATATATATCCAAGATCAAAACATGAATATCAACATTTTTCGCGATATCTTGACTTCCACCGGTCGGATCCAACTCAAAATTGAAACAAATAATAGTATCACTACTATAAATCTATCGTTCAATTTTGAACCTTGTGCGACAAGTAGAAGTTCGTGTTACAGCGATTACACATGTCGATTTGTCAGCGTTGAAATGGGTTTTAATGTCATTCCTGATCGTTCCGGCATCCCGGCCGTTCCGGCACCACATCAAAACTTCAACTTTTCTACCTTTTTTAAAACGCCATTTAAACAACCAGAACACCATAAATTTCACTAAATTATGCTTTGGGGCATTTATTAAAAGAATGCCCTTTCTGATTACACCCAGAACAGGTGATTTTCCGACGCACAGGGGGCAAAACAGGGAGTGTAGGTTCAACATAGGGTTCTAGAGCAGGTGCAGGATCAAATATATATCTCACACTAGCACCTTCCTCACCACCAACATTGGTAGTAGGACCCGGAAGCTCTGTTAAACTACCTTTGTTAGGTATTTGCTTCTTTGATTTCTCCCTCTTTTTTGTCTGCTTTCGATTCCCCTCCCGTAAACGCTTGATTTCATCCCGCATCAAGATATGCTCATGAACTAGCTTAACCGACATGTTGTAGAACTGTTGAAGATCACGTTTTGTAGGCGAAGAGATCTTATCAGTGGCTGAACTTAGACCAGAATCGAGCCTAGATTTGCGTATTTCTAGCTGCCTAGTCGTCTGAGGTACACCAGTAGAGATATTGCTACCTGATGTTGAACCTTGTGAAACTGGTCGATCTAGTAGAGGCGGATATTGAAGGCGAATGTTAAGCTTTGATAGTACCCGATCAGGATCTAATGGCACTAGACCAGTAGCTGCGAAGGCACTTTGAACGATAGACTCTTTGAATGAATCGTTACGAGCCGCTGGAAAGATATCAAGGAAGTCATCTTTCTCAATCGAATCGATGCCTAATCGGGTGTATTCCGCAACCCGCCTTCCGTAAGAGCGCTTTAACACAGCAAAACAACCAACATCAAGAGGCTGTAAAAGATGAGAGGCATGCGGAGGCATACATATTGGTATAATGTTGTTTTCCTGGCATATCTTGTCGAATGTGGCGGTGAGATGACTATCGTGGCCATCAAGGACCAAAAGACAATCTTTCCCTTTCGTCTGACTTTTGACATGCGGAATGAAGTGTTTTTGGAGCCAATCAACGCCAATTTCATTGCTCGTCCAGCCGTTTGGACTAACGTTAAGCGCCCAATGTTTTGGAAGGTCGTCAAACCATCGTACCATAAAGTTTTTGCCTTTAAAGATAACGTATGGTGGGAGCGCTCGCCCGGAGGCGCAAATTGTTTCAATAACAGTCACCCATTCGCGATTGCCAGCTTGTAAAACACCCCTCCGACCGGTATAGAATGACTGTGTAATAATCTTTGTCGTTGCACTGACTTCCATCGCAAACCCTGATTCGTCAAAGTTGAAGATATCATCCGAAGTGATACCATATTGAGCAATCGTTTTTTCAACAAGCTTATACCAGTCAATAATGGTCTTTGGATCTTCCATTAAAGCGCGTTTGTAGTCATATCTGCGAGAGAATCGACTAGAAAGCCCAGGATGTCGTTTAATATATTGTGTTGGCCAATTCTTGCTGACGGTCTGGAGGGTATGTTCTCCACGGTTTTTAAGTAGTAAATTGGCCATATCTCTCAACATAGCGATCGTAAGAGCAGCACCTCTATGATCCATAGAGATTAACCAATCCTGGATTGATTCCTCTTCTAATTGGGTGAATTTATGGCCTATAGCCCTTGTGTCAGACCAACTAGTAATCCCTTTCATCCGGTCTTGTAATGTAGACCGTGGGACCTCAAAAGAGCGAGCAGCAGCAGCAACAGAGATAAAGCGGCCATTTTTTAAAGCCTTAATTGCTAGCAGGATTCTGCCTTCCTGCTCAATTGATTTCTGAGCTTTTTGACCGCGGATTGGCGGCATGATAGACGTTTGAAAATAGGAGGTTTGGTGAAGAGAAGAAAAATTAATGGGGTGCCGGAACGGCCGGGATGCCGGAACGACCAGGAATCACGTTAATGGGGTGTATGGCCCCCACTAATGGGCCGTGGGCTCGAAGTTTAGGCCCAACCGGCCTATTGCGAGTCTAGGTTTACAATAGAGGGTGGTGGAGATGATATGATTCTCGACGATGAGGAATCAAAGCAAAGAATATATTCACCATGGGTACCGGCAAAACCGGTTGCTCAGCCTACTTTACCTTCTATGCCCTTAGTTCGGCGGCAGGTAACATTATCTAGCTGTGAAATAAAAGGTTATACATGTTCTAAATGCCCTACACGTGTTCAATAGCTAAAAATATGTTCTTATTGTACTTTTGATAGTGGACAAAATCGAATGGTTTTCACTAATTTAAAGGGGAAGGTCGCTCGTGCGACCGTGGGTCACGTTGTGTGGGTAGCCCAGTGGCTAATGAGCCAACGGAATAACTTTGTCCCGCATCCGTCTCTGACGCTACCTACCAGTAACGTGCCTCCGGCGATGCCGGTGGAGTCGACCGTGTTGTGCGCTTGAATCGAGAACAACTGGAACATGGCATAAGCAGACAGACCGTTTCTAAAAGGGTTAAAACACTTACTGATGGGGTCACTAGACAGATCGTTGTTTCGTCTCACGCTGTGAGCGCGTAGTGGGACAGGTGTCTGCGTTGCAAAAGAAATATCAGCGCAAGTCCTCGCGATACCGTGCTGTATGAACAGCATCCCTTACTTCCGGCTCTGATGTGAACATGATTGCCTTTAAGGGCCTGGAAGCCTAGTGAAGTTTTAGCATGTCTCGAACTTGGACGAAGCAAGGGCCATACCACCGGAATCGTGACCAGCAGGACGCTCAGAATGAAGATCCCCAGCGCAATCATGTTTATACAGAAAAGTCGAAAGCGCCGCAAAGCTAAGAAGAGAAAAATCCGCCGTTATATATCCGGCTCTCCTTGGTAATCCAAAGAAACAAATAAAATGGTATTACCGGTATGAGAGAGCTACCGACCGCTGTGAAGTCACAATTTAAATCGAAGAGCCCGCAGCATTATGATGCTATCACCAAACCTGAGGATATGCGACCTACTGATACAGTCACCTCAATTTTACGAGTGGCTCATTCGACAAATTCTTCACATGCATATAACGGCGTTAGTTAGGAAATCTTGTCAACTCGCTGGCTCTACGTCGTTTCACTGACTTCCAACTTTGTTTGACAACTCCAAAGAGCTGAAATTCACAGCTCCAATCACCTGTATGTCCCAGAATGATTTGCTAAATGAGGGTATGTCGGCCACCTAGGTATTGACAACTGCAGTGGATATGTATTAGCTAACCATATTGGATAGGAGTGATGGAAATTGTCAGGATGAGGAATTGATGTACTGGCTGGTACTGAACATGTCCAATAGAATCAGGTGATTGATTGTAGGTGTTTTAAAGATCGGTTGAACGATCTCAGGGGTCTATACAAATAAGCTTCGGCGTGTTACAACACCGTCCTTCCGAATCTGCCCGGAATACCGTACAAATACTAGTGGGAATTGGGTGATCGATGAATAAGCGTCCCAAAGGGTCCTAGTGGTATTTGACCACTCTCTCAGTTCGTCACACCCCCTCAGCGTTTGCACAATTCCCAACAACCTCTGCTAATCTAGCAGATTTCCAATATCCTCCATGCCCATCAATTGGATAAATTCTGTGTGCTTCTGGCGCGGCAGTAGCTTAGTGAGTCCGTCCGCAGCCATACTTTTCGTTTCGGTCCATCTGATGAGAATCCTGCCTGCTTGGACCTCCTGACGGAGCCAATGGTGGTGGATATCAACGTGACGTAGCTTTGTCCGCAGCTGAGGAGCTTCCTTGATGAGAAGCCGAATCGTCTGTTGGTTATCGCACCGGATAGCAAGTTCGTGCTTTGGATCAAAGCGAATAGCTTCAAAGAGACGTTTCCACATGCTCATGGTCCTCGCAGCCTCGGAGATCGCTAGCAGCTCCGCTTCGGTAGTACTAGTGGTCACCGTACGCTGTTTACCAGCCCTCCAGTCAACAGGTCCGCCAAAGATTGTGCAGAGATATCCCTCCGAGCTCTTCCGATCCGGGTTATCGGCGAACGAGGCATCACTAAAGAAAGTGACGGCTTCATCATCATCGGATCGGCGCGGCCGATAGGTGAGAGCGAGGAAACGTGTGTGGTATAAGTAGGATATCACGCGGTTGATCGCTTCGAGATGCTCCGGTCCCGGGTTCGTGAGGAACTGAGCTAACGTGGAGGTGGCTTTGGCTGCATCTGGCCGTGTGATGGTAGTAGCATACTGTGTGGAACCCACCTTCTCCTGGTACTCATGAATTTGTTCCTTTGTGGCCTGCCCAGCGTACGGCTTCAACGTAGCTGGTGCCTGGGGTGTATCAAAGCGACGATGGGTGGTCAGGTGATATCTGCTTGCCATAGAGGAGATGTATGAGTCCTGACAGAGCCAGAGGGCCATCTGCTGTCTGTCACGGACAATACGGATCCCTAGGAACCACGCAGCTTCGCCCATGTCTCTCAATTCCCATGTGCTGTTAAGTTTCTCTTTGATCTCAGCCGCGCGCTGGCGCTGAGATGGGTGATTGACGATGATTATATCGTCTACATAGAAGAATACGATGATGCCGTCCGATGCGAAGAGACAAAGATCTTCTTGAACGACTGTGAGACCTAGCTTAGTCAAGACCTTTGTGGCCTCACGTTGCCAGAGCCTTGGGGATTTCCGTAGGCCGTAGAGAGCTCTGAGGAGCTTCCAGCAATATCCAGACTGCCTAAACCCCTCGGGCATCTCCGTTATCACTGTTTCATCCAGTGTGCTGTTAAGGAAGGCGTTGACAGCATCAAATTGGTGTGTATCGAGGTCAAACGCAGCGACCAGAGCGAGAACGGCGCGGGCCGTACGGGCAGCGAGGGTAGCTGAATACTTTTCTTCCGTAGAAAGCTTCTGAAGATCTCCTCGGACACAGATTCTCGCCTTCAGCTTCACCAGATATCCATCACTATCGAACTTATAGTTAAAGACCCACTTTAGTGGGAGCACCTGCACGCTGCGGTCGTTCGGACGCTGTATGACCTCAAAAGTGCCCTTCCGTTCAATTGTTTTGACCTCGAGGCCAGCAGCTGCTAAGAAGCCTTCGTTGAATGGATGATTCATCATCTCTCGCCAATTCTGAGGCTCCGAAGGTAGCTCATCGCGGTGTGTTCTTGTATGTGAATGAGATCCATTGAGGCCGGTTGCAAAGGCAGCGAGTACCCCCTCTTCATTTTCCTCGTCGTCCGCTGAGAAGGCTAAATTGCTGATATCTCTAGATCTTCGCTTGCGTGAGCCCGACACGATGTTGCGAGACGAAACATCTCCCACTATATCCCTGGGCGCAGTACGAGTCTCTCGGGTAAGTGTGGCTGCCGAGAGCTCTCTCTGAAGCTGTTCAGCGAGTTGATCTTGAGAATCATGGTCTGGTGGTGCCGGGAAGGCTCCTGGGATTGATTCTGGTGCCGTGCGAGGATTTGAGGTCTGCACTGGCTGAACGGACGGCGTGGGCGACGGTGATATCATCTGCTGAGGCTCCGCTGGCTGCGAAGGGGCTATTTTCTCTTTGGAAGGCTTAGTCAAGCTCTGTGGCTCTGTTCCCTGTGAGTCCGCGATGTTTCCAACTGGTTGAGGTATATCCAGGCTTATTTCAGTGGTGCCCTGGTCAGTATCCTCGTCTCCAATAGCCCATGGCATGGTCTCCAATATATCGCGGACCGGCTCCTTCTCTAGCTCTCGAGCATTGAAGAACACGTTCTCATCAAAAACAACATCTCGCACTGATCGTACAGCTTCTCTGCGGGGAAACCACACCCTCCAGATGTTCGAGGCTTCATAGCCAACGAGATAGCCTATCTCGGCGCGTGGCTCCATCTTCGCGGCGTTCGGAATAGCCTGCTTCCGCACGTACGCTCGGCAACCGAAGATCCTCAAGTTTGCGAGGTTGACACGCTGTTGTGGCTGATTGAAGAATGCCTCTTGGTAAGGGACTATCCACCGGCCGTCTGGTAGCTTCGTGGGCGATCTGTTGATGATCCATACAGCAGCTCTAACAGCTTCAGGCCATAGATTCTTAGGGAGGCCTGCATCGGCTATTAGAGTACGAGCCACGGTGATTATCACCCCCCCAGATCGCTCCGCGAAGCCGTTCTGTTCCGGGGTGCCCACTACACTATGCTCAATGATAAAGCCTTCATTTGACAAGAAATCTTCCACCGTACGCCCAGCAGAGCGTTCGTTATCATATCGGAAGGCACGTATCGGAAGATTCCACTGCTTCTTAGCTAGTGCGACGAACTGACTAACCGCATCTTGACAGCCGTTCTTCTTCTCATGGGTATAGGCCGCGTGGAGGCGTACGCCTTCGAGGTAGAAGTGTGTCATCCAGCGATCTCCGTTATACCCTGGGTCAATTTGAACGAGATCGAAGTGGATACGACCATACTTGCCGTACGGTGTGCCAGTTGTCCTTCGAGAGATTTGGCGTTTAGACTTTGTTAGCTGACAGACTTCGCATTTCTCGGGATTATCGTGATGATTATCTTCGCAGATTCTATCAATTTTGACCCCATCAACCATCTCCGGCAGCTTCTCAATCTTCTGGTCAAAGGCGTGGCCCAACCGACGATGCCAGCGCCTCGCTGAAGCTGCTGAGAGGTGAGGCTTCTCCGAATGCCGTACGGAAAACGCTGCTCGGTGGTTCGGGTTGTAGATGACTGTGTATAGGCCGTGATGTCTCTCTACCTTAAGAACAGCTTCATTGGCTTTGAATATCGCTCTTTCATCAGATTTAAAGCAGAAGCCCTTATCCTCAATCACAGAGAGTGAGATCAAGCTTGTATGGAAGCCGGGCGAGTACCACACGTTGTCTAGGGTGACAGACACCGTA